TGCGGCTCTTTTGTGCGAGATGCGAGTGCAACAGTGATAGATGTCCCTCTAGAAAATGCATGAAATATGCGTTCTGTGTGAACGGCTTGGTTTCAGTTTTGACGTAAACAACATCTCTGCATTGTTCTCCTCTTTTTCCGCAATATTTTGAATTCAACTGGATAGGTTAACGAAAACATTATAAAGCAACGACACTTACATCGTCATCGCATCTTGTGCGCCACTGATAAGGCTGCCTCCTTAAAATTCGAATGCAACGTTTTTGCTTTCGAATGTGGAATTTTATTTTAAATTCGACGAATATTCGAAATTCCAATTTTTATTTGACAGCCCTAGTCAGGTCTTATGAGCTAGATTTTTGTAATGCTGTTTCTTCATGACATTCAGTGCATGTCAAACTCAAATCTCTGTCATGGTTTGGTTCTGCTGTGCTGAGTGAGTGTGACTCAAATGAATCTGCAGTGATTGTAAACGATCATAAAGTGCTGTGTAAAGAGTCTTTGGTCTGCAGTACTGAGAGACTATTGAGTCTCTCTTTATGAAAAGTAAACGTAATAAGAGCAGGTCAAGGTGCTGTTTATGACCAGCTCAGCCTTGTCAGTGAGGCTATTAATTTCCCCTCTCTGTGCGTATCTCTGTTTGAACCTGATAATCTGACCATTATATGATGATGTGTACTCAGAGTGACCTAGAGCAAAGCTAAACATACAGTATTCATGAATATTAACAGATGCAGTCTGCAGTCATACGTTAGAGGCATGCGTCTATATTTGAGTAGTTCGCATTCTTTTGGGAACACTATGTGTGTATATATATATATATATATTAGTGCTGTCAAACGATTAATCGCATAAAAAATAAAAGTTTTTGTTTACATAATAAATGTATGTGTATATTTAATATGTCTATATATAAATACACACACATGCATGTATATATTTCAGGAAAAATTTTTATGTATATATAATAAATATATTTATTTATAATATAAATTATATGAATATAAATATAGACGTAAATACATGTAAATATTTTCAAAATACATACTGTATGTGTGTGTGTGTGTATTTATATATATACGTAATAAATATACACAGAACACACACATACAGTATATTATGCAAACAAAAACATTTATTTTGGATACGATTAATCGCGATTAATCGTTTGACAGCACTAATATATATATATATATACACACATAGTGTTCCCAAAAGAATGCGAACTACTCAAATATAGACGCATGCCTCTAACGTATGACTGCAGACTGCATCTGTTAATATTCATGAATACTGTATGTTTAGCTTTGCTCTAGGTCACTCTGAGTACACATCATCATATAATGGTCAGATTATCAGGTTCAAACAGAGATACGCACAGAGAGGGGAAATTAATAGCCTCACTGACAAGGCTGAGCTGGTCATAAACAGCACCTTGACCTGCTCTTATTACGTTTACTTTTCATAAAGAGAGACTCAATAGTCTCTCAGTACTGCAGACCAAAGACTCTTTACACAGCACTTTATGATCGTTTACAATCACTGCAGATTCATTTGAGTCACACTCACTCAGCACAGCAGAACCAAACCATGACAGAGATTTGAGTTTGACATGCACTGAATGTCATGAAGAAACAGCATTACAAAAATCTAGCTCATAAGACCTGACTAGGGCTGTCAAATAAAAATTGGAATTTCGAATATTCGTCGAATTTAAAATAAAATTCCACATTCGAAAGCAAAAACGTTGCATTCGAATTTTAAGGAGGCAGCCTTATCAGTGGCGCACAAGATGCGATGACGATGTAAGTGTCGTTGCTTTATAATGCTTTTGTTAGCCTATCCAGTTGAAGCCACTAGAAAGAAGCGCTGCTGCTTTGTTCATTAAAAATATTGCGGAAAAAGAGAACATCAATGCTGAGAAGATCTTGTTTACATCAAAACTGAAACCAAGCCGTTCACACAGAACACATATTTCGCACATTTTCTAGAGGGACATCTATCAGCGTTGCACTCGCATCTCGCACAAAAGAGCCGCATGTTTAGAAAGCCATGTAAAATTAATGCAAGTTTAACTTTGAAAAAAAAAAACATATATCGAGACTTTATGGCGGGTTTTTTTAAAATGAAAAATGTACTCTGTGTGATTGGCTTTCCGCCCTTTGAATTAAACTATGAATACATACATGATGCTGTTTTGTTTATAGTTGTTTAAGCAACTTAATTATAATTGGTTTATAAACATTATTTTAAACATTATGCACTTATCTTTTGCTTTGAATAAACGTGCAGTAATATTTTGCTCGATGCGCCCTCTTGTGGCCTCAGGAGAGAAGCCAAAAGCTTTTCTTCACTCTAACTGAAATTATGCATTTTAAATTCGAATACAATTCGAATTTTGATCATATTTAAGTACAAAATTCAAATTTAGTTGTTCAGTCAATTTGACAGCCCTAGACCTGACAGATACTCGTTCTTGATATATGGGACAAAAGTTGTGGGATTTCATCATTCTATGATTTATTTAAAACTAAACATTTTTAATATGTACAGTAATAATTATTTTTATATATGGTTGAAACATGCTGACACAAATAAGAAAATGGTTTTTGTGTGTATATATATATATATATATATATATATATATATATATACTGTTCAGTGTTAGTCCATGTTAGTTCAGGTCCATTAAATAATATTAACAGATACAATTTAAGAAAGTTTAAATTATCATTAAATAAGATTAATAAATGCTTCAGAAGTAACTTATGTTTACAATTTAATTTAACCTAATGTTAACAAATGGAACTTTATTATAAAGTGTGACCATTTCATTGTGTGATTCAACAAACCAGAGGCCAGTAACTCATCCCAGACATGCTGAAGAAAAATAAACTGAGGATATTTGTTTATTACAGTTTTTTGCTTATTATAATTCAAAAGCAAACAGAACCAATCTGAGATAAACTGAGAAATTTGCATTTCCTGAAGGAAGTACCAGTGCTTCCAAGTGAGCAAACACAAAAACAAATCATTAGACAGAGACAGAAATTAATATGATGTAATATAGACAGATAAAGAGAGCAGTAAATAAAGACAAGCAAAGAAAAGAAAATGTAAATAAACAGAAAAGAAATGCAAATAGAGAAAAGAAAAACAGAAATTCTTCAGACTGAAATTATCTACCAAACAAAGTCTGTATGTTAATCATTCCAGCTGAATTAATTGCAGAAGATTGTGGATAATAATAAAAAAGCATGTTTGCGGAATATGACTACAGCCCTGCCTCACAGACACTAATAAATGCTGCATTTCAGAGTGATGAGTCATGTTTGACTGACCTGTAACAATCCCATAGTTAGGTGCTTCCAGAACCGCTCCATAAAACTGGATGACGTTTCGATGACTGAGAACACTCAAAATCTCTGCCTGGAAATACAGCCAACACAAAGAATACAACAATATCAAAAAGAGAAAATATTCATGTTAAGTATTCAATATATCTGCATTCCTTCCTAATTTAATACAAAAATGCGTCATTGCAAATAATGGCATTGTTAGCATAACAATTTAACCCTATAAAGCCTACTGTGTCATTTTTGATACACACATTTCTAAGGTCTCGAAATTATCAACATGATGTTATGACCTTAAGATAGTCTATGCATCTGTGAACTGTTTTTGTATGTATTTGATCTCTCTGCTCGTGTGTGTAGACATGTTTGTGTTCCAGATGGGTGTGGCCTCTGTTAACCAGCTGGAGATGGTGATTGGTGATGGTGACACCCTACCCAGATATAAGGGCCGCCCCAAACACTCATCTTCTGCCTCTGAGCCTTGTTGACGTCGTACTGTTGTGTTTCGCTAGCGGTCTGATTAACTGATTCCTGCTATAGTTTGTATCGCCGTCGTCGTTTGGTTGTGAAAGAGTGTCGAGAGAGATATTCTGAGTGGATTGAATCTGTTTAGTGTTTGTTATTGTAAGATTAAATTCTAAAACCCCTGTTTATCTGAACATTGCTTGTCTTGATTACGATTTGGATTCTGATTCTGCTGTGTGTATGCCCTGAAACTTTGTAAATAAACTGTTGTGTTGCGCTAACGTTCTGATTAACTGTTTCTTGCTATTGTTTGTATCGCCGTCGTTTGTTGTCGTTTGGTTGTGAAAAAGTGTCGTACCGGAGAGAGAGATATTCTGAGTGGATTGAATCTGTTTAGTGTTTATTATTGTAAGATCAAATTCTAAAACCCCGGTTTATCTGAACATTGCTTGTCTTGACTACGATTTGGATTCTGATTCTGCTGTGTGTACGCCCGGAAACTTTGTAAATAACTTTGTAAATATTCTTGTAAATACTAGTTTGCCAAATTAAGGGACGTAGGGGGTTAGACGCCATTTTATTTATATGTTTTGTTTTTTTTTTTCACTTTGTTTATGGTTGAGGGAGGTAGGGAATTTGGCCTGTATCTCCCGCCGCCGCAGTTCTCGTAGAAGAGGATGTCATCGAATTTGATTTGCACAAAGGAGGTGCCCAGAGATGCCATGGCATAATGGCACTTAGAAACACACTTCTCTCCTGAAGAACCAAGAAAAGAGGACAGAATGAGAAGAGAGCGAGGGACGAGGCTCCTCAGAGGAGAGATGTTGTGATTTGATCTGCCACTGAGAGATCTGCTCACTTCTACTCCAGTGAACACACTCACACACACACACACGCGCGCGCCGCGAGCTGTCAGACAGAATCCACTCACTTACTCTAACAAGTTTTGCTCAAGTGTCACAGGCTGGTGTGAAGGTGACGTTTGGCGCTGTGTGTGTTTATGTTTATGTTTTTGCGACAGTTTGCATGCCTGTCCTGCTCGATAAGTTTAACACAGTCACATATTTAAAGATATAGTTCACCCAAAAATGAAAATGTACTCACCCAGGGAAGTTGGTCTATATTTTGTTTTCTTTATTTCCGTTTGAGGTTATTTAGTTGTCAAAGAAAAGTCTGTTTTGTTTATTGTTTTGGCCTTGTCTGCCCCTGAAGATACTCCCATTAAAAGAAAATAAAATTGTTTATTTGGCAACTCCTTTTTCTGTTACGGCTAACCCCTAGAGGTCGTAACAATGATCAAAACTTTGACGATAAACCTGTTGTATGCAATTTACAACATGCCTTCTGTCGTCTGATTGATAGTTTAAACTTTTTAACTTATTTTTAGTAAAATTGTAAAACTGTCAGGTTTCGTCTTTTTTGTCTTTATTCACGTCTTTTTTGCTGTGAAATCTTTATCGATTTTTATAAAGTACATGTAAGAGTAACTTTCATATTGTTAGAAATGAACTGGACTGAAGCAACTTATGCTTACTTCATGCTCCAAACATCATTTCTTAGAAAATTTATTTTCAAAAGTGAGTATATGATACAACAGGCTTTTGCATCATTGTATTGCATTATATGCTAAAAACTACAGAGCTTTGATCATAAAACTAATCTTATTAAGACATATTACTGGAAAATGTAGAGTAACAGCTGATATGTATATGCATTTTATGCAAACAAACTTTTATACTGTTGTAAAGATCATTGAGATACATTACAAGCTGTCAGAAATTCATCATTTGATCATATAAATATCAGCAACTGCTCAGTTTGGGTCTCTGAATAAACTTAAGGTGTCTTTCTGCTCCTCGAGTATGAGCTTCAGATTCTCCTAAAAGCATGATGCATCAAATATGACCACATGAGATTTGAACAAATTAAAAAAACAATTTTGGAAGAGCTCTACTAATATGAAGTGAATCGTATGAATGTTTTATTCGTTC